GAGCAGGTGACGGAGCTGCCCATGAACTTCAGGAAGAAAGAGAAGTGTGCCATCATGGACGGATTTGCCAGGGAAGGCTTCAAAGACCTGACAAGCATGTCGCACTCTCCACGGCGGAGCCGGGCAAGAACACCCAGGCGGAGACCAGCTGACGTATGGAAGAAGTTAGAAAGCTGGCCCTAAACCCTAACCCCTGAACCTTGAAGCCTAACTTCTAAAACCCTAGACCTTACATCCTCAGGGCCGAGCCTTGAACCCTAAACCAAAAGAACCTAAGCCTCAAACCCCACACATCGGGGCACCAGGCAGCAATCCTGCCCCTTTCAGTGGTGCTGGCGTGTCCGGCCTTCACCGCGGCTCGTCTCACTGTTCAGGGTTTGTGCTTTTAGGTTTCAGGTTTTCGGGGTTGCATATCTGATTCAGGCTTTAGGGTTCAGGGTTTAAAACTTAGGTTTGGGGTGTTTAGGTTTAGACTTTGGTTGTACGGCACATGCAGAGCCTTTACAAGCGGCGGTTCTTTTTCGGGCGTGATTCGTTTGCCCGAGCCTTGTTTTCCAGTAGGCTCCTGCACAATGCTACAAGAGCGATAGACCAGGCAAAACCCTGCACCCTGCATGAACCCTCGTGAGACACAACGTTCTTCCCCCATAATACCAAGGCCCGAAGCCCCAAAAGCCTCGAAGACCCAAACCCCAACCACTACGACCCTTAAGACCCTTGAGCCAATGCCCACACGCCCCCAACGGCCAGCCGACTCCAAGCGAGTCTTAAGAGCTTCGGGTTGAAGCTTTCGGGCGTAGGGTTGAGGGTTTGAGGGCCCTGGTGTTTGGGTACAGGGTCTATTTGTTTTGGGGAGTTGCAGGTGCAGGTTGGAGGCTTTCGGTGTCTCGGTCGAGGACCCCAAATCCGAAAACCTTAAGTACAGAACTTTGGAAGTCTAAGCCCCACCCAATGCGTAAATACTGCGCCTTGGAAATGCATCATCAGGAAACTCATCCGGCGGTGATCTTGAACACAGCATTTCCAGCCCCTCTAGGTGCGATTACAACATTCCAGATGTTTCGGGTAGTTTTGGTCTGGGTTTCGGAAGAGTGTGCTGATACAAGTAACAAGTGTACAGCATATGTTTACAGGGCTCGGGAGCAAATTCCATGCTTTGGGGTCAAGATCATCGGCTTGCGTCCTCTGCTACCTTACCAGGTTGCAGACACAAGGCGAACTTCAACATGAAGATGTAGTTCGGTATTTGCGGCAAACCTCTGAGTTTTGGAGCGATGCGCCCTAAAACCCTAGACCTTCTTTAAGGGGAGGGTTGTGGATATCTCGTCGAAGCATCCATCGTCACATGTTCGGTTACATGACACTTTGAAGCCTAAACCTCGAGCTGCCAGGGTGCAGAGCAGGCACGGGCTAGGATTTTAACGCTCCACCCAAAGCAACACAGAAAAAGCCCTCCTAGACACCATAGAGCAACCAACCGAAACCCGAAAGCCGGTGCAGCCCTCCGGCCTAAGTCCCTAAACCTAAACTCCCGCAACCCTGCGCTTCGAGGTAAGGGCCTGGAAAATCCCGATCAGTTTACGGCTCACCAGATCTGGCTTTCTCAGACCAGCATGAAACGGTCTTAGGTAAAATTACAGATGGAGAAGCATACAAAATCCACTGAACAAATAGTGGAAAAACGCCAAAACGCAGGCCCCGCAACCTGCTCTTCTGCATAAAATACGTGGGGTCTTTCGCTTGTTAGCTCTCCGGTATTGTTTTAGGATTATGGGATGAGGCCGTAGCAGACACCCAGCTTCTGCGAACACGCATTTTGAACGAGTAACATGAAGAAGTAGAGATGAAGCGCATGGCAGACAATGGGCAGCAATCGTTTGCCGGACGGCAGGTCCACAATAACTCTCACGGGCAATTGGTGACAAGTGCAGAACATGTATCCGAATTGGGACACTTAAAACCCCCAGCGGCAACCTGATTTCTGCCAGATTGGCCAAAATACGAAGTGCCTCAACCCCGAAACCCCCAAACTTTCAAACCCTCAAGCTCTTCAGCCTTGAGCTTTGCTCCGAAATGGGGTAGGCTGGGCTTCTCTTCCACGGGCTGAGCCAGTTTCTTGCCGAAGGGCCGAGGTGCACCAGAAGCGCAATCGCTGTCAGTAGTAACAGGACTTACGAGACGAAGGCCGATTCCTGGTGTTAAATAATACAGGGGCTTCAATAATTACCTATACTGATTTTCGGGGCTCCTTATTATAATTGTAGTATAATGGGCCTCAAAACCCCATGCTAATCATTAAGGCCACTATAGTATGCTACTGTAGGAACCTGAGTAAGAAACCTTGCGCCTTTGTCAGGGTTTCGTATATGAAACCTACTATTTTGAGGTTGTAGACGCAGAGTTGCTTAAATTGGGTTTATCTACATGATGAAACTGTGTGAATGCAAAATTCAGCTTTGTTTAGAGAAGTCCGTTGCCCCTAAGCATGTATTCGCAGTATTTTCGATGTCTCCAGTAAACCATCCCCAATTTGTGTTGGAAGTGCATTGAAGCGTAGTAGTAGTAGTAGTAGTAGTAGTAGTAGTAGTAGTAGTAGTAGTAGTAGTAGTAGTAGTAGTAGTAGTAGTAGTAGTAGTAGTAGTAGTTGTAGTAGCAGTAGTAGTAGCAGCAGCAGCAGGAGCAGCAGGAGCAGTAGCAGCAGGAGCAGTAGCAGCAGGAGCAGTAGCAGCAGGAGCAGTAGCAGTAGCAGCAGGAGCAGGAGCAGTAGCAGCACGAGCAGTAGCAGCACGAGCAGTAGCAGTAGGAGCAGTAGCAGTACCAGTAGCAGTAATGGTGGTAGTAGTAGTAGTAGTAGCAGCAGTAGTAGTAGTAGTAGTAGTAGTAGTAGTACTAGTACTAGTAGTAGTAGTAGTAGTAGTAGAAGTAGTAGTAGTAGTAGTAGTAGTAGTAGTAGCAGTAGTAGTAGTAGTAGTTGTTGTTGTTGTGGTAGAAGTGGCAGAAGCAGCAGTAACATGCAGTAGCAGGAGCAGGCAGATGTTGTTGTAGCAGTACAAAAGGCCGTGCTAAATACGGGTGAAATCATTCCGGTTCGCAGCCTGCTGCAAGCCACCCAGAATCCAGAATCCCAAGCCTCAGCTCCCAGATACCGCTAAACCCCAAAACACTGGAACCCTGCCAAAACCCAGGCACCGAAACCCGCCTCTGAGCCCTAATCCCTGACCCTGGCCCCAACCCACGCCCACAAAACCTTTAAACCCCGGGCCGCGGTGGTTCCCATTTCCGCTTTCCCAGAACACCAACAGGCTCTGTTCAGTCGGGTTTTTGACACTGTTAACCCAATTCAGATGGTTCAATTTTCAAGGTTTAGGGGTTTAAGAGTTTGAGGTTTGATTGGGTCAAACTGCACGAATCCGCAGGGGTCGTAAGGCGTGGGGCGAGCCTTAGGGTGGCAGGTTTTGAGGCTTAAGGTGTAGGTTTGGGGCTTACGCATTCCCGAAGTAATTGAACCGCAGAGTTTCGGGTTTGTGGTTTATGGTTTAATCGTTACGATTTTGGAACCGATGCTTCTGGAAACACACCAGAGAAGCGTATTGAACAACTGGATGGCGGCTAAAACACTCGAGCTAAGGAGGTGGTATCGTGCATTGAACAGAGCATTTTGTTGCCGAGGAAAGTGCGAGTGGAAGGCCTTTCAACAGTGTGTCTTCTGTATTTAAAACTCCCAGGCTTGAAACTTGTCACCACATCTTCCAAATTTAAGCGTCCTTTGCTGAAGGGTTCCTTACTACCCATGCTTATCATGACTTGTGCCAGAAGCAAAGCTGTTGGAAACTTGACTCTAAAAAATGCCGCACGGAATAAGCCTCATCGTAAGCCTGTAACTCTCCAACCCTAAGTTCCTCAACCTTAAACCCTTAGCATCCCTAAATCCAAAGTCTTCAACCCTAGAGACCTGGAACCCTGAATCCTCGACAAGCCTTAGGGTTTAAGTTTAGCATTCCTGGCTTTGGATGCTGTGGAGTTTTAGGGGTTAGCGCGCAGGCTTAGGGTTTCGGTGCTTGACAACCCTATTCCTACAAGAGTGTGTTCCCGTACTTGGTGTTTTGGAGAAGCATCGATCTTCACAGAGTCGAGCGCCTGCCATCTGTCCCTACAGAGCTTGAGATAAGCGGGTTTATACATGAAGTAAACATATGTCGCATGTTGTGTTTCGTAGTTCTACTTGGCAAGTCCCGCTCTGTGTGTATTTACAGCTGCATTCAAAAGGCAAGACGGATAGAGGATTTCGGGTTTAGGATGTGTGGTTTGTTGTTGCGGGGTTCAAGAGCCTAGACTGTGCGGTCTGGAGCTTGCGGTTCAGTGAGCAGCTCGAGTGGCGCTTGATGGCAGGGGCCCGCATTCCTTTAGGGTTCGGCAAAGCCGCAGCGCAGCAAAACAAAGTTCTGTTCTGGGTATTGCTTCAGCTTAGGCTAAGCCCTACACCCGAGCCTCGCTGGGGTAAACTCAGCTGTAATGCTGCGCTTGGCCTGATGGCTTGGGGCGAGTCAACCCTGAACCTCTTCAGCCCGAAAATCCCGCAAAGCTGGAAGGCAACTCTGGAAGACTCATACCCTCGGTGCCAGAGTAAACAACAGCAGCAGCAACAGCAACAAGAAGAATAATGAGAAACAGAAGAACGACCATGGTAATAACATTTATATTAAGATCGATCTTGCCCACAATCGCAATAAGAGTAGGTACCAGCAGCTAGCCATGACAGTGTTACCAGTAACATCGTAGATCATCAGCAGTAAGAACAAGCTGAGTTCAACACAGTGAACAGTGCCCGACTGCTACACCATGATTTAGAATCACGAAAGAAAGGCACGACATCTTCTTTCCCAAGCCCACAGCCTCAAGCGCAAGTCACATAAGCCGCGAGATCAACATGTTTACTTTGTCACGAGGCTTTGCCTTGCGTTTGGTTAGTATGGTTACAGCTCGCATGATGATTTGGAGAGGCACTTCTGAGAAGCATGGCGATCCTGCTCCCTGACAAGGCCCCTGCATACAGAATTCAGGGGTTAGAAAGGATGAGAAGAAAGTACAGCCCACATCTCTGGCCCAAAAAACAACCCTAGCCATTCAGGGTGTAGAGTTCAGGGTTTGGCACTTAGCATGGGTTTGGCCTTGAAAGTCTGAGAGACCAACGGATCTAGGGATCCGACTTTCCTATTGTCTCCTAGGTCATTTATTGTAAGGGCCTCAAAAATGAGAATTGGGTATGGGCTTTAGAAAACTATAAAATATAATAAGGAACCCCCCAAACCCTATTCTAATTATTAAGGCCGCTATACTGGTCGGGCTACAGGGACTCTACGAAGTATAGTTCGCCTCTCGGGAGACAGTAAATCCTGGACTCACAGGGCTCACGATAAGGGGGGTGATTTCTTCATCCTCGACGGTTTTTCAACTCTTCAACCCTAGAAACATTCGGAACCCTAAACAGCTACCTGGGGGTTCAGAGAACGAATAGGCGACGGAACCCCGAATAGAAGGACCACCGATGAGAAAGGATCCTTAAACGAGCTGCCGAGCCCCTTGAGTCTAACTAACCCGATCAAGCCTTGATCGGGCAGAAGTCCCACAAAAGCCGGACAAACAGATGACGCCGTATAGAA